CACATGATTCTTCCACAAGGTGTACCCACACCTTAATACAAAAATCCAAATTGTATATAAAAATAAGCAATACAAAGAAATACCTCACTAAGGTGGATTTACAAGTTTCCAATAACTACAAAGCTACACTCTAATGTATCTCTCACAAAAAAAATATGGACAACTTTTTTTGTGGAGAGAATGAAAAGTTCGAGAGCAAAATAATTTGGGGAGAGAGATGTTTGCTTTGATAATAGGTGTGTGGGAGAATGAAGTAGGTGGCTTTATATAGAATTTCAAAGATGAAACTTGGTCACTAGATTTAGGGCAACAAAGTATGGATTGTCTTATTCAATGTTTGTTCAATTACTMTTTTACCCGCAAATGCGATGTGGGCATTGGGTTCGGCAATAATGATATCCCCCAACATACCAAAACTAGTTGTGACCCCATCAGTAGTAGAGATGTAAGGATTGATACATAGAATAATTTTTTATTTGATTGATAATCATATAAAGCGGAAGAGATTTTTGCCAGTTGCATAATGGATATTAAGAGGAAGGATAAAAAAAAAAGAATAAAGAGAATTATGGAGATTTAGAGAAATTGGTGGAGATTGAGAAGATTTTTGGATTGAGAGAAATTTGTGGAAACTATTGATTTATTCAAATTTGAATACGCCACATGTTGTCATATGATTCGTCCACATCATCCACCATGTCACCATAATGGTTGATGTCATGTTATTACCACATCATTGCCATGTTGGAATAATTTGACTATTAGATGTCACATCATCTACCGCATCATCTACTACGTCATCCTACTACATTAACGAATTGTCACGTCATCTGCTACGTGTCGGCTTCTAATTGGTTGGACTGTCCACGTCACCTGCCACTCATTTGACTTTCAATTTGAGTGATTCAAAATGTGTTGGATACGTCTTTTCGAGCTCTACTCTTTGGACACTTTGAAACACTAAAATCATGAGTAAATAGAGTTTGTTATCATCAAAACACTTGGTATGATTGAACTCATGAAGCTAACACGTCATCCACCATATCAGCAAAATCATTGATAGCACGTTAGTGACACATGACTACGACGTTGGCATAATCTGAATATTAGATGCCATATATCATGTACCACATCATCCTACCACATTAGCCAATTGTCACATCATCTGCCACATATCGGCTGTTAATTGGTTGGACTGTCCACATCACCTGTCATATGTGGTTTTTCTTCCCAAATTTGTTTTGGCAATAATGTATTTATTTGAACTTCGATTCGAGTGATTCAAAAGGTGTTGGATTCGTCTTTCTGAGTTTTATGCAATAGACACTTTGAAACACTAAAATTTAGAAAATAAAGTTTGTGATCATCAAAACAATTGGCATGATTGAAGCTCATAAAGCGAACATCATCCACACCCCTCAAGAACAGATCTAAGTGCGATGGATATGAGCGTGGGTTTATTGGGTCTATCGCCAGAGAGAGGACTCACAGATTTTGAGCGTGGGTCTATGTCGTTGGGTCCGTCATCAGAGGCGAAGCCAGTCGAACTGTTGCTCGTCATCCCATAAAAGGGATTTTGCGAGGAAAAAGATTTTATCAATTGATTTGGAAAAATATGGAGGGAGGGAGAGGGAGATAGAAGAAGAAAGAAAAAATTTAAAGGAGATGGAGAGAGAAGCAATAGGAGGCAACAAAGTAGATAGAGGAAAACACACCGTTAGGAAGAATTGAAGGAAAATAGTTCGAAACCCTAAAACATCTTTGGAAGATGAAGTGACAAATACTTAGATGAAAGAAAGAGAGAGAGAGAGGAGGGAAATTAAAATTCATTTTTCCAAAGAATGGGAGAGACATTTTGTCATTTACGCTGACATCAGCCAGTAAAATGGTGGAAAACTTAAATTTGAAAAGTTGGGCAAAAAACTATTGACCCACCTTGAAAAGGGTCAATCTGCTATTTTTCGAAGATATTTTGTTTTTCGATTTTTTTTTTAGTTTTTCTGTATTTTCATTTTAACTTACAACAAAGAAAGATTTTAAAACAATATATATTTTTTAGTACAATATGTAAAGTGAAAAAAAAAAGACTCGAACAACGTACATAAATAAAATAGACAACTTATAAACTTAAAAATCATCATAAGTTGGTTCATTTGTCCAAAGGGGCCAAGTAAATCAAAAGAATTTAGAGGAAATGGGTTCAAACTCATGGTGCGTAATTTTCGGTAATTTGGGTGAGTAGTTAAAATTGGACACCTGATTTAAAAATTTGATGGTTTTCCAATTTTGCCGTAAAATATATTTTTGTCCCTTCTTATTTGAAACCACCTAATGTACATTAGATTTGAACCAACATCTCATATTCCAATATTTCAGGGATTTAATTGATTTGATTTGATATCTTCACCATTTAAATTTTAGTCTTAAGGTGATCTCCCATTCTTCCAAGCTTTCCCCTATGCAACTATTTGATTGACAATATTGCTCAAGGTGGATGATGTCTCATTCTTCCAAGCTCTTCGCTACAACGATGGATTAAGTCTCATCCTTTCAAGCTCTCCCATCGGCATTAGTGAATTATGTACTAATCACATTTTTCTATGATGGTAGTTCAAACTAAAACAAATCACTCAAACCATGACTTTAAGGTGTTTGAGATCAATAATGTGAAAGTACGGAAATCTGTTTTAGTATCGGTAGCTTTCTACACATTACGTCTCGCCATGATTGCAAAAGCTTCATGATATCTACTACCCTTAGAGCATGGACTGAGATTAGTGTTATTCAATTTTCTTTTTGTTTACTTCTCTATCTCTCTCTTCCATTCTTGTTAGAGTTTGCAACTTAGCCCTCTGAAGTTACTTTCCCCTTCTTTTCCCCTCAAGTTCCTTGTTATAGTTCACGATTGTGCTCATTAATCATTTTCAAGGAACAAGTTAGCTGTGGAAGAAAGTGTAGGTATTTTCTTTGTAGATACCAACATTTATCTTGAAATGAAAATTCGACACTAATGCAAATCACTGTAGATATTGATATTGACCCTCGAAATGCAAACCATTGTAGATACCGACATTAACCCTATAAATGGAAGAGTGATACCAGTGTAGACTACTACATGTACTAACATTTACCCAATAAATGGAAGTGCATTTCCAGTGCAGACCACAACTCACCATCAACTCCCCAGTAATTATACATGTATCTATTGATATATACAGTGTGCATATGTTACTAAAGCGATTACCGTTTGATAAGACGACTTGACGTGACAAGGTATGTTTGATTTGATTTGATCTCAAAGTTGTATGGATCCATTAAATATATTTACCACTCCCACTTAGAAATTTTTAATTACAGATTTTAGATTTTAACTTAGAAATTTATAAAGTTTAAACTTTAGTCAAATTTTGAATAAATTTTTAATAATCCACTTTCAAAATATATTTTTAATTTTTAAATTAGATTTAATTGTTTAAATTAGATTATTTAGAATTGATTTCTAATTATGGTGGGTTGTTTTTTACCAAATAAAATTCCTAAAATTAAGCCTACATTGTTACAGAGGTATATTTGTCTAAAATAATATTTAAGATTCTAAAAAAAAATATCATTTACCATATATACAATACACAATATGTTTTGACATTTTTTTTTTGAAAAATGTTTTGACCATTTTTTAAAAGGTCTATTTATTTTGGCCATTCCAACTAAATAAAATAGACATTTTAAAAATGCCAAAATGAACACTAAAATAGTATTTAAATAAAATGAATTAAAATAGAATTTATTTTCTCTCAAATATATGCGGATGATAAATTAACAGTCCAGATTTCATCAGATAAAATAAACGGCTAACAACGGAAAGAATCAGCCTTTTATTAATTTGATTTTTGCCATTATCTTCTGGGCAGTGTGCTTCCAGCACTCACACCAAGAAAGTTGGAGAAGAATTTGGTCTCCAATTTGGAGAACTTCCCATTTTAACAAACTTCAAATTGAGTGCCTCAAATCCCACAAAATGGCTTTGCAGCCTAGTTTGTCTCTTCATCGTTCGCCATCCTTTTCTCCTTCCCATTCCTTCCTACCATTTGGGTC